CGTGCTGGCACCGTCCCGAACCCAGAACCACGGCTCGGCCCGCCGCCTGAGCCCGCAGCCACCGCGTCGTGGTGCGTTGACAGCCGTGTGGCCTCGTGAGATTCTCACCCGCGCACACAGCTGTCCTTTCCGGCTCCGTCTTCTCGTGCGTCGGCTCCCGCCGTTTTCTCTGCGGGCGCAGTGGCCGCCTCCCAGGCGCGGCTGTCTGCGAAGCGGCTTGTCGCGACGCCCACACCCTCGCACGGGGGCCCCTGTCCCCTGTCACCAAGGCCTGTGGTCACATGGCGTGTGGGTGACGCAGCCTGCTGCCCTCAGTGCCTTGGACCAAGCCGTGTTGTCGCCTAACGGCAAAGCTAAGAGCAGGAGCGAACCTTCGGGAAAATGAGCCTCTTCCGCTCGTGACGTTTGCGTCCCGAAGGGGGAGCCCTGCGCCTTCTCGGCGTTTTCTAGGGCGCTGTCGTCGTCATCCGACGCAGCTCGCGGGCGCGTGGCAAGTGCCATTTGCAGGACTGACGCTGTCACAGCCGCGGCCCTCGGTTTGCAGGGCAGGACCAGCCCTGGGCTAGGTGGTGCGGTAGGACCTCCGCCGCCCTCCGCCCTTCTCCCTGTACCCCACTTTTCCGTTAGCGGCTCTCCGAAGCTCCCGTCCCCAAGTCTTCCGGTGTGGCTCTGTAATATCCTAGGACGCCCCCTGTGGCGGCCTCGGCCAGAGGCCCAAGCGTTAGACGCGGGGCCGTCGGCGTCGGCTTCTCGGCGCTCAGACACGGGGTGCACTGCGCGGCCCCGTCTGAGGTCAGACACGGGGCGTCCGCGTCCCAGTTCCTTAAGATTCACTTAGCGGAACGCGGCAGCCTGCGGGTTCTGAGTGTTGGGAAGAGCCGTTGGAGGCTAACCCAGCGGGGCCCCTCCTGGAACCCCAAAGCCACCCCGAGGCAGCCTCGCTCCCTCTGATGGTGCGTAAACGGCCTCGTGACAGCTGCGCGCGCGCATTTTTAAGTGGAAGGGACGAACACGCCCTTGTTCTCCGAGAGCAGCTCGGAACTGGACTGGCTCCTGGCGGGGGTGCGGGGCGGCTGTGCCCGGCAGGGGTGTGGCAGCGTGACCGTCGCGTGCATCGTTAGGGACAGGGCAGGCGGAAGCCTGAGAAGGAGGCTGCAGCTTTCTGCCAGTTTGCTTCCCTGTTGGCCCCAGAAATCTTTCAGAAACCAAGGAATGAGAGAACCGTCGAGAGTTAAAAAGAGGCCGTGACTTCTGGAAACTAGAGTAAAACACGCCGTCCAGACCCCGACAGCCAGCCTCCGTGACCACGGGGCTGCGACGCCGCGCGGGCGGGGCGGGGCAGGGCGCGGGGCCGCGACGCCACTGACCCCAGCTCTCTCGTCCGCAGGCGGTCAGAACGGCTTCAACATTCCTCAGGTGACCCCGTGCCCGGAGGTGGGCGAGTACTTGAAGATGTCCCCGGAGGACCTGCACTCCCTGGACGCCAGGCGGATCCAGGGCTGTGCGCGGAGGCTGCTCTGCGACGCGTACATGTGCATGTACCAGAGCCCCACGATGAGCCTGTACAAGTGACGGCGGCGCGGGCCGGGCGCCCCGCGCGCTGTGGCCCGA